TTCATAACAATGTAATAAACATATTTCAAAAGAAAAACAGAAAATCGTACCAAGGGGATAGGCCAGCAATAGAAATTTATGGTAAGTTATTATTTTGTTGAGACAAAACTTAAATAATACATTACATTGATAAATACTAATAATTTTTTCAAAAAGGTGTTAGGTACTCTTTATTAAGGAGTAACTAACATATATAAACGAATAAAATCGATTTTCATTAGTAGGTTGGGTTCTTATGGAACCGAGGTCACACCAACGCCATTCAATATGACATATCTCTACTATAAATGAGTGTTAAAACATAAACGACGTGTTTTCCATTTCATAACAATGTCATAAACATATTTCAAAAGAAAACAGGAAATCGTACCAAGGGGATAGGCCAGCAATAGAAATTTATGGTAATTTTTTAAGTACGATGGGTTCTTATGGAATCCAAGTTACACCAACGCCATTCACGGTGACATATCTCAACTGTAAACTAGTCAGGGTATACGAGTAAATAAGATCGTTGTTAAAGGGGAATAGTTCAGCAATAAAAGACAAAGGCCTATTGTAATATTCTTACACATTTCAACCAACTAACAGTACGAGTGTACAAATCATTATAACTTAGTATAAGGTTTAGTGCTAGGATAGGCTTTAAGCGTTTACTTTGTTACAACTCCATGAAAACATTAATTCATTTATGCAGTTTTTTTCATATATTTTAGACACTTGGTATAATCAACGCTTGGCGGGAACAACCGAACGCTATCTTGGCCGTGTGCCGCCAAAAAAAAGTTCCCGCCACTTGATATTTTGGAGGTTATGTCGTCGGCTCTATGACGAATCCTACTGTGACGCCATCATTGTTATGACGTTTTACTGTGACGTATATTCGTCGGAGGGGAAGTAGGAGAAGTGGAGTGAGTTATTGCTAATCTATTGCCAGTTTCACACCGATCACAGTCCTTTTGGTAGGCCTACTTTGGTTTTATCCGGAGGCCACATATTTCTAAAAGATTTACTGGAGACTAAAATGAACTACATAATTGAAAAGAACATACCTACTTAAATTGATTTACTTCGAATTTGACATGATTACGATTATCAGCCTTAGAGTTCTGCCTCCCAGAAGGCAGTGATGTCGCTGAGGTTTGAGTTGAATGCGTTGCCACTGCTATACTCCGCCAAGTAGGTCTTCAGCGTGCTGCGGCGGTTATGTTAGATTAGGTTATCAAATATGTTTGTAGGACTTTACTCGTTTTGTTATGAATCGAACGATGCCAGATGAGTCATAACTTACTTTCCCCAAATCCCCAAGATACAGGCGGTGACAGTTGATGCGCGCGCTTCGGCCAACGTCCTGACCTTGGTCTACTTGAAGGTGATTTGGTGTGCGAAAGTATGACTCATCTGGTATCGTTCTATTCACAACGAAATGAGAAAAGTCATACAAAAATATATTTGATAACCCAACATTACCGCCGCAGCGCGCTTTATAGGGTGGCATCCGGATAATACCAACGTGCCGTCCTTTTTTTATTAGTCTGTAGTTATAGGAGGTCTTATGTGGTACCTTGCTGAAGATTCATGTGATCTCTGCACTTCAACCAAGGTGTTAGGATGGTCTTGACCTTGAGTAGACAAGGTCTAGGCGTTTTAAAGGCAGCCTACGGTACAAAAGGTGTTAAGTTTGTTTCACCTGGAGTTGGCTATAGGCCTTAAAAAAAGTAATTTCCCTAGGCCTACACCGTATAGGTTCTTAGCTGCCTCTACTGTAACCAATACCATTAACCTTAATTAATCTTGTTTCCCTCTAGGCTATCAGCCACTCATACAGTAGGCCTGTCACTCAGGTAGATACCGGTAGTGGGTTTAGGCTAGCCTTATTTACTGATTGTAGGCCTAGCTCAAACAAATGAAAACTGACTGATAGGTAGTTTTACAATTGAGTGAAAACGTGGAACTGGTGGTTTTACTGACTGATGGAAAGTGATGATTTATCCACAATGTTAAAATGAATGTTTCATCTCAATGAAAATCAAAGTAACCATCAGATGATTTAGTTGGTGCTCAACAACAGGTGAATAGTTTTGTTTTTACCAGATAATTTCAGTTCCCATCACCTCATCTGCTCCGAGTTAGGCTGAAGTGACATCTTTTTAACCGGACAATTGTTATTACCATCTATTTAACCTGACTAGATTAGCAGAAAGTGGCTGAAACAACTATTCTTGTGGGAGGCCAATGATCCAAATACAATAAAGTATTGTGTCGTGTAGGCCTATAGTTCAGTATACTGTTGTGTGCTTTTGCTTTTTAATTTGGAAACACAATGGAAAATATTTTGCAACTGCCACAAACTGTACAGTAGGCCTAATGGTTTTTAAACATTTAAAAGGTAACTTTAAAGAAATTATAATTTTGCGTTAAAAATTGTGATCACCCTAAAGTGTCTAGATGTAACTCATAATTTTTTCATTTTGTTTGAGTTAAGCCTCCGAATCACTGATCAATATGTGTAGGCCTACTGGTGAAATTACCTGCTGTCACAATTGGATCACTTGACAGCAGGTAATTTCACAAATACACGTATGATGTTTGACCTAATAATCATTAATTATCATCCTAATAAAGACATTCCTAAATTAAAGGGTTGAAGGGGACGTGGGTTTAACCGAAAAAAAGCTATCCAGTCTGGACTCCAACCATATAAGAGGGAGTCTGTACTAAAATTGACGATACATAAGAAAACATCATATTCAATAGTTTAAAAAGAACAATATGTTTTTAGTGAGAATATTGCATTCACCTTTTCACCTGTTAGTTCGTTAAGAGCTAGCATTTGTAGTTCTGATCATTAGAATTAATTAAATTAAGTTTCTATATTTAAGAAAATGTGTATTTATTTAGATAACCAATCACTAGCCTACATAATTACTAAACTTACAGCTAATTATATTTATAGAGAAAAAATGGCAAGTAAGAGTTGTGTAAGTACTGTTAATATATAAACAGTGTGTCCAGCTAACCGGGAGTTGACCGTGAATTTTAATGACTCGGATGAAGTCTGTGAATGATACAGTACTCCTGTAATAAGTATGGATTAGAAATTTTGGAATAATCGCAAATTGCATATGATTATATTTCAGTTTCATTCAGTTAGGCTAATTTTATCTGAAGCCATTTGACCCATTTTATTCAATGGTAGGCCTAGTGATGTGGGACGGGCAAATACCTACCGGTAGTGGGTAAGAATAGGGTATGGGTAAATAATGCACATATTTCATATTTATAAACATTACCATGTTTTAACATATAATTTGACTTGTTTTGCATTACCTATCTTACTTATTTGAGAAATTTCTTGCTGTGATGAAAGGAAAGTAACCATTAACAAATATTGTTAACTAGGTTAGAGAAATTTACAAAGGACGCTTCAGTATCATTGATCTGCAACACTAGCCATTGTCCTCTGTGCAAACAACCACACTATCTCCTAGACTTTGCCTTCAGCTGCTTCTGCATCAGCACGACGTAAGTTAAGTTGGAAGTTTTCAGTTGTAGTGAATAAACAACACATTCCTCTAATAGGATTCATGATAAAATATTTTGGTTAGGGGTGCCATATCGCCGGATTTTGACGTTCAAAATTTAGCTCCAGGGGATTTCTGCAAAAAGTGAGAAATCTCCTCTTTTTTACTCTATTAAAATACATCGTATAATGGCACTTTTGGAATAAAATAAATGTTTGTGCTTGTAATTATTGTTATGCAATGATTGAAAAATGCAACTCTTGTACTCTCTACTAATGTTTTTTTATTCCGTAGTTTCACTTTTTCCACCAAAGTCCTTAGTAAAAAAGGACAGCTTTCCTATATTGGCAATTAGGATGTACAACCAACTGCCCCTGTACTTTAAAAACCTTGAGGCCTCAGATTTTAAAAACGTAATGAATGAGTGGCTACTGGCAAGGCCCTTGTACTCCAAAGATGAGTTTTTTAAAATTTGCGTCTAACCTGCCGCCAAACTTGTTAATATGTAGGCCTATATATATATATATATATACGGGTCATTCCATACGAAATCAACCAATAAAAAATTATTTTCAACCTGACCATCTTGGATTTTAATGAAATTTTGCATAATATTAGTATTTTGAGTCCTGAATCCAAATATGTTTTTAAAAAAAATCTATCTTTTATAGTTTTTACAATAAAAATATTTCAAAATGGTAAAAATTGGTGTTTTTTACCGTGCGCGCAAATCTAAAATATTGTCTAGAAAGAGTTCTGTTGGTCATATCAAGTTGTACAATGGCTCATTTTAAAGAGGATTCACATGCCTTTAATCTGATACCAAACTCAACCTACTTTGGTAAAAATTAATTTTTTTTTTAAATTTCAAAATGTTTTTGAAAGAAAAATTAAGATCAAACAGACAGTATCGAAGTGTGAATAGTCCTATAATGGTCCTTGGTATGGTAGCTATATTTTTGTAAAATTTAAGCCCAGTCAGTTCAGCAGTTTATGCGCCTATTAGTAACACACGTAAAGACAGACACCACTAGATTTTTATATAGGTAATCTATATAATTATATATAATCTAAATAAATTATATATATATATATATATATATATATATATATAATCTATATAATAATTAATCTATGACATCCATCTGTATGTCTTTGGATAAAACCCATCTGAGATTGTGGTGGAAATTTAAAATTGTGATTCCTGATGATTCTTGATCTCTTTTTTATGACATCAATATTTTCGGACCTAATCCAAACAAAGTTTTTAAGCAGCCAAACATTAATGGTAAACCATAAGCTACCAAGATGAATTAAAACATGTCAAAATATTTATTTTCCTTCTCTTTTATCAAAAAGCTGAGAAGTGAAATAATTTGCATATCCGTTCAATGACCCGTAATTTGCATATATATTAATAGGCCTACAGTTACCAAGCTTATTAATAGATCATTATTTTATTTACATCAAAACGTTTCTTCCTTAGTTTTATAATAACTTATACGAACTACTTGAGGAATTAAACATGGTCTAAAAATATAACCAATTAATTGTACTCTTAAGCTCAGGTAGGTTAGAGGTAAGTTTGACAGGTGTGCGATCGAGCGAGCGCAATGCTTGGGCTCGGAGGGTAAAAACACCGGCGGCGTGTTGCAAAGAATAAGCAGAGCGCATTCGCCGAGCAGTCTGTGGCTGACAGGTGCAGTGGTTGTGGGGGTAGGGTTGAGAGGGTTGTGGGGGGAGCTATACGCACGTCGGTTACGTCATGCCACTACGTGCGTGCTCCTGTGTGGCTGCACTGGAGGTGGAGCCAGATCGAGTTTCAAGCCACGTCCACTAGGAGCGACCCTGCATGGAGGGTTTACTCTACTAGTTAGGCTGAAATCGTTGGCGATGGATTTTAGTACACGATAGGATGTCTAGTGTAGATATAAAGTCAATGACGCTATGAACGACATCACAATCGGGCGCACCCCGGGCAACGCTGACATGTCAGCGGCAAATCCTTCTACTATCGGACGACTTTGAAAAATGAATCTACCCAAACGAACTCAACACAGACCTATAGTATGCACCGTTAGTGCTGTTGTTAAACCTGAAGTTGTTCCTCTAATGCGCAGGTTAAACTTCAAAAAGGCCAACTGGACGGGTTTTAGGGAGATGATTGACAGAGAAATCCAATATCCCTTCACAACCTGATATGTATGACTCCTTCGCTAAGCTTGTCCAGCAGGTCTCGAGAAAAATGATACCTAGAGGCTGTCGAACCCATTACATCGCAGGACTCTCTGAAGAGGCAAAGCCACTGCTAGAATGATACCAAGATCCCTTTGCTGAGGACACACTTCTAGCAGGGGAAGAGCTTATGTCAGTCATTGCCGAAAATCGCAAAACTAAGTGGTGTGATCTTGTGGAGAGTTTAGATATGCAGGTGAACAGCAGACGGGCCTGGAAGTTCCTCAAGAACATAAATGGAGATGCGACAAAACCAAAAGACAACTTTACAATAGTTACTGCCGATCAAGTCGCTACAAACCTTCTTTTAAATGGCAAAACATATGGAAGGAAATACCGGGAGCCTGTTGTGCGTAATGTGGCAAGTGAGAATCACTTCCTGGAAGAACCATTCACCATGTCTGAGCTAACTGCAGTCATTACCAGCTTAAAGACTAATAGAGCTTCAGGTATTGACGAGATCAGAGTCGAACAACTGAAGAACCTAGGTAAAAATGCCATGCAATGGTTGTTGAGCCTCATGAACATGTGCGTAAGCCAAATGCATATACCAAAAGCATGGAGGAAAGCTCGTGTGGCTGCACTGCTCAAACCTGGGAAAGATCCAAACAATCCTAAGAACTTTCAACCTGTTTCTCTCTTATGCCACACATATAAAATATTAGAACGTCTGACACTCAATTGAATCGGCGATTTTCTGGAAACAAAAGATCATTCCACAACAGGCAGGCTTTCGATCATGCAAGTCTTGTGGCCAAGTTTTAAACCTGACCCAGCACATTGAGGATGGGCTTGAGAGAAAACAGATCACGGATGTCGCTTTTGTAGATTTAACAGCTGCCTACGATACCGTAAACCATCGAAGACTCTTGGGATAAGTGTACAGTATTACCATTACCAAAGACTATCAGCTTACTTCAATGTTAGGCACTTTTCTTCATAACAGGTGGTTTTTCGTGTCCCTTCAAGGCAAGAAAAGTAGATGGAGGAATCAAAGAAATGGATTGCCTCAGGGTAGCGTCTTAGCCCCAGCTCTTTATAACATTTACACTAACGACCAACCGTTGCCAAACGCTACACGTCAGTATATATATGCCGATGATACGGCGGTGGCGGCACAAGGAAGGAGTTTTGAAGAGGTGGAACAGAAGCTGACTATGACTCTAAATGAACTTTCCTAGTTTTATGACGCAAATCACCTAAAGCCGAACCCTGCTAAGACCCAAGTTTGTGCCTTTCACCTAAACAATAGAAATGAAATGAAATGAAAATGTGCTTTATTGTACAATTTAGAACATAAATACATTTTTACACAGACACATAAAACAATGGTTAATAACCGTCTGTTTTGTTGGCACTAGAGTTGTTCAATTACTTAAGATTAGAATAGTAGGCCTATTGAGCACTAAACAGATTTATTAATAATCCTGAAATAAAGACATATATATAAGATATATATATACAAATATATAAGAGAGAACGAGTACTTTATTACAGAAGTGAAAAAAAAATAAAAACATACTGATCCTAACTTATCAGTAGACGAGTTTCATATACAATTAATTTAGGTTCAAAAGTTAAATTCTGTCACTATCTCCCATCTATATTTCCAAGCGTTTTCTAGATAACTAGCTAAAGCTCGCCAATTCCTCCCATTTATAAATTGATGATATTCTATTTCATTAAAAAAAAGTTTTCCCAACCAAAAATGTCTTATGTGTTTTAAAATCGGACAAAGTGCAATAAAATGATAGACTGTTTCATTTTCATTTAGGTTACATAAGGAACATCTATAATTTTGATCGAGCCAAGGCTTGTAATTCAGGTTGATAAGCTCTAATCTTGCTTTAAGAATCCACGAAATGGTACGAGTATTGTTGAGTTTGAGGGGACTCTTTATCTCCAAGTTCAAGGTCGAGCGTGAGTAACTGGCTGTGGTGGACGGAGGTGCGCGCTCGACCAACACACTCCCCCCTCCACCTACAACGTAGCCCCTCCGCTACCGACCTCAACTGTTCGCTAAGCTCCGCTAAATCATCATTTTGAAAATTAATATTTATATTAAATTGTTGTCCCAGAAGCTTCCATTCTTTACTCCAAAATACATTCCTTGAAATAATTTGTTTAGCTAAAATTTTGGCCAATCTCCCCGCTGGTAACGTTAAACATTTCAATAAATAATTTAGATTTACATTCAAAGTATAAAAGTATAACTTTTCACAGCATGTTTCCAAATATAATGCATAATTTGGTGTGTTAAAAGGTAAAGAAAATAATTTTTTGAGAAATATTTTTTGAACAGATTCTATTTGATCGCTTTCTATACATCCCCACACCTGAGCTCCGTAGCAGATTGTAGCTCGCACTACCGCTTCGAAACAACACATTTTAGAACTTAGCGGTACTTTTGGGTTTTTAAATAAAGCACTCCAGACTGAATTAACAGCAAATTGACCTATTCTGGCTTTTTCTTTGAAATGATTACTCCAAGAAAGGGAACTTGTAAACGTGATTCCTAAATATTTGTACTCATTTACCACCTCAATAATTTTACCCATATACCACCATTTGTCGCTCACCTTTAATTTCCCACCATTTCTAAAAACAATAATCTTTGATTTATTTAAATTTACAGTTAAATTCCATGTCCCACAGTAGGTTTATAAATTTTTTATCATGTGCTGCAGCCTGGTACTACAGGTTGATTACCGAGAAACACATGTTTTTCAAATAACGAGTACTCAGGTAATTCAGAGCAAAAAATCT